CAAAAAACAAAACAGAATATAAACTACAAGAAAGAAGACCCGAAGGATTTTTGATCTTTTCTTGAGGCTGCCGGCCAAATTGATTTCATGGTGACAGTTAAATAACCGCCTTCTCGGGGAACGCTGGCGAACAGCATTTCCGTACTTAATGGATCTAGCTTCTCAAAATCTCAATGTTAATTTCTGTGACACTGATCTTCCTGACAATAGAAAAAGCAGCAGAACCAGGCCACTCACAAACTAGAAGTCTCTTCAGCGGTGTTCCCTCTAAGCTGAGTTAGTGTGAGCTAGCTCAGTTTTTTAGCCTCCAGCTCACAGATTTTTGTCTTAGCTCAGGAAGGACGGCTCCAGAGCAAACTAACTTATGCAGTAGCCGAATCACTTGCTCACTACCTTAATGCCAGTAGCTCACGAAGTAGAATTTTTGCTCACAAGATTCCACACTTTAAAGGGAGCATTGCTCTTCAGTCAGATCCACACTTGCCTATATCCATGCCGCCAGGCTGAGATTTCTGTCTTTGTGCAGGTGCTATCATGAGACAGTTTCAGCCCTCCTCCCCATGTTATTTTCCCAACTCTGGATGGACACAGGCTCGCCATCTGTAGCACTGAATGCCCAGGGTGCCAATCTCCAGGTAGGACCTGGCGATCTCCCAGAATTGCAGTAGCTCTTCAGGCTGCAGAGAACAATTCCCCTGGAAAAAATGGCTGCTTTGGAGGGTGGATTCTATGGCATTGTACCTCCACTGAGGTCCCTCCCCTCTCTAAACCCCTCCCTCCCCAGGCTCCACCTCCAATATCTCCAGGTATTTCCAACCAAGATGACAATCCTATTAAATGCCATTTATGTGCAGCTTCACCACCAAGAGCAAGGCTCTGTAGTTTAAGCATGCATGATGCGGAGAAGAGAAATATAACCCCATGCCACATGCCCTATGAGCTATGGATGTCCCACTGGGGATTTATATATTGCGTGCGCGCGCGCGCAATTGGCTGCTGACTCACTCTGCACCTTAAGGCCGGTGCTTGTGGGCAGGGTGGCAAATGTGGGGATTTTTTTACCTTGCACAGGTCCCTGTGGGATCAATCTGAGCTATGCCAAGATTGCTGGTGGCAAAATGTTGCACACATTTCAGTGGTGTATCTGGGGCTGGAGGGGCTTAGGAAGCCAACTAAATCCTGCTCTGGGAGAACAGACCTCCCGGAATTCCAAGTGATCTCCAGACTACAGAGATCACGTCCCCTGCAGGAAATGACAGCTTTGGAGGATGGATGCTGTGAAGAAATGCATTTTTTTCCTGGAAGGTTTGAGCTGAGCCAAACCTCCACTGTGTGTTCTAAAGGGAGGTGGGGGGGGGGGAGGCCAGCTACCTCTTAAGAAATGCTAAATAGATCTAGCTGGAGAGATAATGGGTGGGGCGAGCACTACCCTTTCTCCTAGCAGGGAACAGAGATTTGGAGGAATGAAATGCTAGAGGGACTCCAGGGAGGAAATGTCCTGGAGAACTCCAGGAAAAGATTCTTTGACCCGGCGTGATCAGGTCACTGGGAGGGGAAAGGGAGATGATAACAACTCCTTGCAGGAGGAAGGAGGGCTCTTTTCCTTGGGTGCTGCGTCCATGAGAGCGGACAGGCCTCTCCACTGAGAAGGCAGCCATTTTGATCATGTACTTGCCTGGAGAGCTGGAGAAAGCTTCAAGGTAATGGCAACTCCACAGCAATCTGTAACTTCCTAGGCTAAAGAAGCCTGTCCTGTATCTTAACGTCTGGTGATAGGGCATGTATAGAGAGAGGGACAGAGGATTGTGTTTTTACCTATTTCTTTTGTATCCCTTGCTCAATCTGGTGCTGTGCTAGAAGTATGTTTGTAAACATTTTCTTTTTAATAAATACTTGATAACTTTGGATGCTGGCAGTGGTTCTCTGTACCACATAAACCTCCACTGTCTCAGATATGCTATTTTGAAAAGGAACATCAGGGGGAAGGAAGGCAGTTGGCAAGCGGCTATTTTGCCAGGGGCGCACAAGGCAGTAAACTGTCCCCATGGTAACCAAGCGCTGGGCAGCGGGAGACACAAAGGCAAGGCCTCAGGACTTGGAAGGGAATCTGGGAGACCTGACCCTCCCAGTGGGCAATTCCGTACAAAGGTCAGGTGGTGGCAGCAGGCTACCCGAGAGTGGAAGAAAAGCCCCTCTAGATGTTAAAAAACACCTAGGAGGGCAGGCCCATTCCGGCACAAATGCTATGGCATTACATCCCTCACTGACGTCAAACTCTGCCTTCCCAAGCCTCCCCCCCAAATCTCCAGGAATTCCCCAACCCAGATTTAGCGACCCTAGAAGAGCAGTTAAAATTAATTAGTTAAAGGAAAAATGGGTGTGGAGGGGAGATCAAGTGGCTCAAACTCCCAAGAGCTTAGAAAATGTCAGGAGTTATTTTGGGGGTAGGACAGGATCTACTAATGGTTCCTTCCCTCTAGGGGTGCCAGCCTCCAGGTGGGACCTGGAGACTCCCTGGAATTACAGTTCATACCCAGACTACAGAGATCTGTTCCCCTGGAGAAAATGGATGCTTTGGAGAGTGAACTCCATGGTACTCAGCCCGAGTGAGGTCCCTGTGCTCCCCAGGCTCCACCCCCAAATCTCCAAGAGTTTCCCAACCTGGAGCTGGCAACCCTACCCCCCCACCAGAGGCCAGGGAGGACCTGGCAACTCTGCTTCCCTCTCATGAATCCTCAGAGGCCCCAACTTGTAGATAACTTAGTTAAAATGCTATCCTATAAGAAAGAGACAGAAGATCGATTCGGGTGGGTAGCCGTGTTGGTCTGAAGCAATAGAACAACGTTTTAATCCAGTGGCAGCTTTTAGACCAACAAAGTTTTATTTTGGGTGTAAAACTTTCATGTGCATGCATGTGTATCTGAAGAAGTGTGCATGCACACAAAAGCTTATGCCCAGAATAACACTGTGTTGGTCTTAAAGACACAAAAGGATGGAGTTCCTGGGGCGGTATGCAGAAGAATACAGTGTGCTGGACCCCAGTTTTAGGCACATTTTCTGATTATACTAATTGTGTGGGTATCATCACTGCTGGCTGAAACTTGACTGTTGTTGTTATTTCTTAAAGGGGGATTGTGATGCTTCCTACCAGTCACAGTCTGATTAGCTTCAATTATATAGTTGCTAAATGGTATGAAAAATACTTGTGCAATAAATGTGAAGACTGGACAGTAGAAAACAACACATTTAATAAACAGTAGACCAGATTGAGACCAGGTGACTCCATGCTGGATAATTGTTTTGTGCTTGACTACACCATATATGGAGCTGCGGTGGCTCAAGTGGTTAAGACACTGAACTGCAGGCTGTGGAAGGTCGGTAGTTCAGCAGTTTGAGACCTGAGTGCGCCGCATGATGGAGTGAGCTCCCGTCTCTAGTTCCAGCTCCTGCCAACCTAGCAGTTCGAAAGCAAGAAATTGCAAGTAGATAAATAGGTACCACTTCGGTGGGAAGGTAACAGCGTTCCGTGCGCCTTGGTGTTTAGTCATGCCGGCCACATGACCACGGAAACGTCTTCGGACAGCGCTGGCTCTTCGGCTTTGAAACGGAGATGAGCACTGCGACCCTAGAGTCAGACTCGACGGGCTTTCGAGCAAGGGAACCTTTACATTTACCTTTTACACCATATATACATATTTATTCATTAATATAAGAGCTCTGTCTTTTCTACTCGTTTTAGTTTAAAATCAGCAGCAATGCTGATGGTTGGAGATTCTCCAGAATATGTCATTAAGCACATGCATGTTTTAATTCTTGGACTTAGCATGAACCCATTATATTCAGCCTGGTTGAAATTTAGGGCTTTTTCCTTTGAAATCTTTCTCTAAAACTGTACCTGTTATTTGAAGATTGAAACAGGGCTTTGCGCTTGCTGCCTTTCGCTTATTAATTATATTATTCTATAATATAGCAGCTATCAGTTTCCCCTCCCTGTAACTGGGAACACAAGGCTGCTTTTATACAACAATTCAGTGTTGTTTTCCTTTGCACAGATTATTCATACCTCCGGATTGTATCGCAAAAAAAGGGGGGGGGGAAAGGATTTGCCCACCGATAATTATAAGAAAACAAAGATGATTGTTTCTAGATGTAAAGCTAAGGTTCTTCTCAACTTCCAGGCAATTGAACAGGTAAAGTGATACCTGGTTCTTTAAGCGCTTTTGTCTAAATAATGGGAGCTGAGAAAGATGTAGTAGAGCTGCCAAAATGAAAACTGAACAGACACCTGCAGGAACACTGACATTTTGGAGAATGACTTGGGGTATGCAGGTGCAGTCAATTACAAATGCATTGAAATCTAACCTGGTTATCAACACAAGAGATTAATGGACATTATAGAACATTCAATCTTAATTCTTTTCTGAACTAAATACTGAGACTGATTTCCTAGATGTACAGTCTCACCATGTGTATATTTAGTAACAACACTTCTGGCTTAAGATAACAATTTTATAGCTTTTCAGAAATGTCTCTCATTCGAGTCAACTTGCCAGGTCCAAATTCCAAAGTCAGTTAAGATCTGTATGCCCTGTGCAGTTTAGTATATCCGAAGAGACTGAAGATTACATATAAGAGCTGAAGAGTACATATATGATTCTATACATGCAGAAAGGTATCGGCTGGATAGCAGGAAAAACTTTTCCACGGTCAGAGTGGCTCAAAGGCGTAATCAGCTGCCTAGGGGGGCGGTTAGCTCCCCTTCCCTGACAGCTTTCAAGACGAGGCTGGACGAATATTTGTCAGAGGTGCTTTAGGCTGGCCCTGCATTGGGCAGGGGGTTGGACTAGGTGGTCTGTATGGCCCCCCTTCCAACACTATGATTCTACATCTCAGTAGAGCATGGTGTAAGTTTTGTTTGGAAGACTATTTGTTTGGGTTTTTTAAAAAAGAAATCTTTTACTGTGATTAGTTTCTAGCAGGTGCCAGAAAGAGTTGCCTACCTCCAGCCGGGGCCTGACATCTGGAATCATAGCTGATCTTCCTGGGAAGAAGAGAGCAGGGTACATGGTATACCATAGTATCTAGGAGAAACCGAAGTCCTAGAGTGAGCGGACATCCACACCGAGCTCCTTCCCCAGGTGTGCCCCCCCATTCCCCAAATTTCCCCTGTGGCGGAGTTGGGGACGCTAATGCTAGTGGCTGTTCTGAATACAACCTCTGATGTTGTGTTATTTATTTATTACTTTATATTTGCATCCCGCCTAGCCGGAGCAAACTGGCTCAAGGCGGTTATGAGGAAGTTCTCAGGTGGAAGATCTGCCTCGTTGTTTATTTAAATACCCTTTGACTCAGTAAGGAGTATATGTCTTTTGATTCTTTTTTTTTGGAACTCATGAATCATTGAACTGGCTGGCCCCGGTACGGATGATGCAAACAGCAAAACCAGGCCAGACAGAGACAAGGTAAGGGTCTTGTGTGCAGGAGGGAAAAAAATCCTAAAAGGCCAGCTGATAAGGACAGAAAATGCTGCCGAAGAGAACACTGACAGCAGCGAAGTGTCATCTAATAGGGGAATCAGGAGTCAGCCAACTCAGTAGATTAGACATGCCAGCCCCCAGGTGGGAGTTACAATGAGAGATCACGGGAGAAGTTGAACAACCGATACAAACTTTACAAACAACTCTGATATAATTACTTAGATATTATTTTATGAAAATGTATGTACTTATTTCTGGGAAGCCGCAGATATGCTATTAACAGAAGTGGAGAAACTTTACAAACAACTGTGATATAATTACTTAGATATTATTTTATGAAAATGTATGTACTTATTTCTGGGAAGCTGCAGATTTGCTGCGCAGAATTTTGAATGGATGAAGTTGTTGACAATTGGAAGTTCGGAGTGACTATATGAACTATATGACCTAAGCACTTTGATCATCATGTGGGAATTATATGTAAAAACCCATTAATGTTAAAAATCATTATAGTAAATACATATTTTTTTTCATAAAATAATATCTTAGTAATTATATCACGGTTGTTTGAGGGACTGTCTTTCCCAGCATGTTCCCCAGAGAGCACTGAGGTTAGGGTCTCAAAACCGCTTGACTCTCCCTGGACCGAAAGATGCCAGACTGCCCTTTACTAGGGCCAGGGCCTTCTCAGTAGTGGCTCCATACTGGTGCAATGAGCTCCCGGAAGACATCAGAGCCCTGTGGGACCTTTTACACTTCTGCAGGGCCTGCAAAATGGAGCTCTTCCACCAGGCCTTCGATTAGGAGCCGCTGCTAACAATATTGAACTGGAATAAGGCCCTTCACGACAGCTGCCTCTGCCTGTGCGATGTCAACAGTAACTACCTTCGGCCGTACTTCCCAATACATCTGCAACATCAGGACCAAGAGTTACCACCACTAGCACTTTAATTGTATTTACTTGTGAATTGTATCTGTAAAGTATATGAATTTTATAAGGTGAATTTTGTCTGTAATGAATGTGTGTTTTATTGTATTTTAATCTTTTAATGTGAGCCTGCTTTGGCAGGAAGGGCAGGATACAAATTGAATTAATAATAAACAAATAAATTGTATAGCTTGTATTGGTTGTTCAGCCTCCAGGTGGGACCTGGGAATCCCCCGGAATTTCATCTCATCTCCAAACCACAGAGATCAGTTCCCCTGGAGAAAATGGATGTTTTGGAGGGTGGACTCTCTGGCATTGCACCCCACTGAGGTCTCTGTCCTCCCCAGGCTCCATCCCCAAATGTCAAGGAACTTCCCAACCTGGATCTGGCAATCCTACTCCCCCGTCCCCTGCTGATGGCCAGGAGGAACCTGGCAACCCTAATGCAGATACTTTGAAATCTGAGACAACCTTGGAGGAGCTCATCTGGCCTGGGGTGCATGAAGCAGGACAGCCATGTTGTCCTCCCTCTCCAGCAATTCACCATCCTTATTCCAAGATGTAGACCAGGGGTGGCCAAAGTGCAGCTCAGGAGCCACATGCGGCTCTTTCACACAGTCTAATTGAATGTTAATAAAAAGCAAAACTGCATATTTTCCAATAAAAATGTGTGTGTGATATTTGTTTATGTCTTGTGGCTCTCAAACATCTGATGTTTATTCTGTGTGGCTGTTACGTTAAGCAAGTTTGGCCACTCCTGATGTAGACTTTTTACTCGTCAACAGTGTAAGGTTTGGCTCTTACTTTGTGACCCCTTCACCTGTAAATATACCTCTCCTTAGTGAGGACGTATGCTATGCTTTCCCCTTGCCTTCCTTAGCGTTTCCTGTTTATATTCGCTGCCACCAAAGGCTCTTTCTTTGGAATTCTTAATGGGACTTCTTAATGGGATAGCTTAGTTATATTTGGCAGAATGACAGAATGGTCAGCATTCTGTTTACTCTAAACAAAACAGTTGCTTTCTCATAAACATAAACAGAACTTATTTAGAAGTATAACAATGGAACGGTTTCAGTAAAGGTCTTAAGCGCAGTCGTTTCAGATAGGCAGAGTTCTTCTTCGTCTAAAGTTCCTTAAACAGACCAAACCACAAGGGCTTATTTTCTCACTTGCCACTTAAGCGAATAACTTCCACAAAACTTAATTTCCGAACTTCCCACTGAGACTAATAACTTAAACAAAAAACACATGTTTCTTTTACAGCACCTCACTTTTCACTCACTCAGTTATCTTCCCCCCCATACTCTCTGAACAAACTCTGTCTCCACAAACCAGTCATCTCCACCCCACAGGGTGTAGCCCATCCAATCATAACATACTCCAATCACCCATCCAGCTAACCTTTTTCTTATTCTTGTGGCCTACATTTTAACCCATAGCAACGTATATATAACCTCCCCTATTAAATCACTGAAATAAAACACACACAAGATATTTAGATCTCAAAACACCACAAAAAGTTGCAGAGGAAATTAGCTGCTTTAGCACCCATTTTGGTTAATGCCGTTTATGCAAATACCTGGAAGGCACATATCCTACAGATTGTATATTAGAGCACTGTTAATATTTGGAAGTCGGAGTATTTTTTAAAATTCTGTAAACAGTGTGGTGTTGTCATTAAGAATGTTAGACTAGTATCCAGGTTCGAATCCCCACAACCCATGGAAGCTCCCTAGGTGACCTTGGGCGACTCATACACTTGCAGCCTAACCTACCTCACAGGGTTGTTGTGAGGATAAAATCAAAGAGAGGAGAATGATATAAACTGCTTTGGGTCCCCATTGGGGAAAAGGCACGGTACAAATACAATCAATAAATAAAAGTGCAAAAGGTTTATGTAATGGCTAAGTCTTAAACCACTGGGGAAACTGAGTTTTCTGCCAGCATATTTTAAGAAACTAAACTAGTATGTAAAGATCCTATTTCTAAAACAACTACTGGAAGTTGGCTTCCGGTCTGGCTCCCACACATGGCGGACGCTTCCTCGGGTCGCTCCCGAGGGCGCCTCGCCCGCCCGCGGTGGAGGAGGGAATCCGCGTGAGCGGAGACCCGAATGAGCCCCTCAGAAGAGAGGAGCTCGGATCCGGGGCGCTTTAGGGCGCACTAGGGGGGAGTCGCTCTTTCGGCCGAGAGGTCGGAGAGCGAGGCTCCCGCCATGCCCTGCCCCAATGGACCTTGCTGCGTGAGCGACCCCGAACGGGGTTTAGCGGAGCCACCAGACGTCACCGAGTGATAAAGCGACCATCCGCAAAAATGGAAAAGAAAAAGAAAAGATCGGCTTAACTGGGAGTTGTCAAAATGCAGAGAAAAAGAACTGAAAATTGTTTTCCCCCCCCCTCCCAGCGAAAAAGGCGAAGAGGTTAATCCTCCATCTGTACAAGCGAAAAAGAAAAGGAGGGGGGGATGAATTGAGCGGACAGTGATGTTTTCCTTTGATGTATTTGAAAGCGAGAAACTTGTCTCTCTGGAGCACATTTTAAGAACTTTCTAAAAGTAAACAAAAAAGAAAAGATGTCGGAGCTGGGCAAAAGCGAGCGGAGAAGGAGGGAGGGACTTCCGTCTGGGCGTTTGTTTGTGTGCAAGAGCCGGCTGTTGAATGTTTGGACTGTTTATGGCTGTGAATCCGACGGGAGTTTTGCAAAAAAGATAAGTTGGAATTGTGACAGCGAGAAGTGCCTGATAAGCGCTTATAAGTCAACAATTGCGAGGAGGACCCATAGAGAGTCTGGGAGCGAATATAAAAGCGAAAATGAAATTGATACCATTCTCGAAAATGGGGACCTCCGGGGCATGAAAGGAAGAGGATTTATAGTACATGAACTGAGCGTATTAACAACAACCCGAAGGAGGATCTAACAAGCCGGAAGGAGAAGACACAGAGGAAGCTCCTCCACGTCAGCGATAGTAAAAGTACCCAGCACGCAAAGAAGCGGTTCTGAATGTGCACAGAAGAGACCCTTTTTATTAACAGAATCTCAAAGGAACATTACTAACATATTAACAGAGAATACATGTAACAGGACTAAGAAAAGAAGTTTGGCAACACACAGAAGAAGCCCAAGAAGATTAATTGGACATTACTAACAGTTTAATTTACCTGTTTATATATCACTCAGCTTTCTCTTTCTCCCACTGTCTACCCCTTCCTTTTTTTCTTTTAAGCGAAATACCTCCCCTTTTTAGGGGAGCCAATAAAACCTTTATTAAAAAAAAATAAAAAATAAAAAATAAAACAACTACTGGAAGTTGAGGGCCAATTTGTTTGCAAAGAACAAGGCAAAGCTGCTCCCTGTCTCCAGGACTCTTTGATCTGGCCACAGAGCAAGATGCGAACTCTAAAGATAATAGTAAAGACCAGCTATTTGAAATGGAGCTTTATGCTAATGAAGCACTTGTAATAGCTTCCAAAGCAGTCAGTTAAAGCCATACCCAAAATGCATCCTGTGATAAGACTCCTTTGAACACAAACAAGATCAAGTTTGAAATACTAGAGTTGGATAAATCTGTTGAACAACTGTAAAAGCAACTTTTGAAATAGCAGCATATTTGGTTAAAATATTTAAAGATAAGGGTTCCAAACTGGTTTTCAGAAATTATACCTATCTCATCTTACTTTTACAGGCCAGCAAAGCATACTTGGGTGCTTTGGATATTGACTATCCATAGAACGTGGTACTCCAATAATATTGTATCAGTTAGCAACAGAAGTGCCCCTTCTTAAAAAAAGCTTTAAAATTTCTACAGATATAGAAACTGTGCTTAGAGTGCTTTTGAAATAACTACTGCAATCTCTTTATAACTTTCAACCAGGGGAATTGTATCCTCTAACATATATCTATATGTTTATATTTAAATATGAGTATTCTTTTGGTAATAGGTTACATTGGCAGGTGAATTACTTCCCCTTAGTTTTACTTATGTTAACTTTACCATTGTTTGATACATTGTTACTAAATGTAAATAAATGTAGAAAGCCAGTTTGGTGTAGTGGTTAAGTGCCCAAACTCTAAGCTGGGAGAACCGGGTTTGATTCCCCACTCCTCCACTTGCACCTGGCTGGATGACTTTGGGCAAGCCACAGTTCTGTCAGAGATGTTCTTGAAAAGGCAGTTCTTGAAAGAGCTCTCTCAGCCCCACCTACCTCACAGGGTGGCTGTTGTGGGGAGGGGAAGGGAAAGGAGTTTGTCAGCCACTCTGAGATACCTTTGGGTAGTGAAGGGCGGGGTATAAATCCAATCTCCTCTTCTAAAACTTCATTTCGAAGTGGGCAATATTATCTAAGATGCCACTTGCAAATAAGTACTTCAGGAACACTGCTCCAGTCCCCAAACAGCTGAATGTGCAAAGGATTGCGACAGTTTGAGCCCAGTGGCACCTTTAAAACTAACAAAAAAACTTTGTTGGTCTTAAAAGGTACCACTGGACTCGAACTTTGTTTGGCAGAAATTATATGCCATATAGTCTTCAGCTGCTTGTGGGAACTACAAAACTTCAAAATTGCACACCGGATAGATTTCAAGACAAAACTGTAAATTTTAACAGAACAGTATTGTCTTAGAAATCGCCCCCAATTTGTATTCAGTTTTATAAATTAGGCTTGCCAATTCCAGGTTGAGAAATTCCTGGAGATTTAGGGCCAATACCTGGGGAAAGGAGGGACTTCTGTTTCTCCTAGACTCTATGATATACCATAGAGTTTGCCTTTCAAAGCAGCCATTTTCTCCTGGGGAACTGATCCCGGTTGCCTGAGGAGCACTGGTAATTCCGGGAGACCCCCCAGCCCCCGCATGGAGGTTGGCAACCCCAACTCACTTTCTATGAGAAGGGAGATTTAATTTACTTCAGGCTACGTTCTACTCCCCTCCCCTCCCTTCCCCAACGACTACACTGAACCGTTTAGAAGACCGTTGGTGTCGTCACTCCAACCAAGGGGGAGGGGAGAGTCACTCTCTCACCCACTACAGCAAACCCGGCGACCCGCTCCAAAAACGCCTCCTCCGTCCCCTCCCTTCTCCTTTAGCAAGGCGTGGCAACCTCACTTCCGGCGGGCCATCTCTTGGGAAAGGAGGCGCTGAAGTAGAAAGAGGGAGGAAGGGAGAGGGAGTTCAGCCGTAACCAAGAGGGTAGAAAAGAGCAAAAAAAAAAGAACACAGCGCGCACGCGCAGCTTCCCGCCCCCCTCCCCATCCTCCCGAGATAAGAAGACGCAAGCGAGAGCGTATCAGAACGTCGGAGGGAGCACGCATGCGCTCCCAAACAAACACAGTTACAGACCCCCCCCCCTCTCAACGCATCCGGGCGAGTGCGAAGTCCGGCGCGTTTCGTCCTCGCGGGCGCGCGCACGCGCAGGCCGGAGCGAGGGAAGGCGGGGAGGGCGCGCGCGAGAGCGCGAGCGGTCGCCTCGCAGCCTCGTTCTCAAGCTGGGGAAGGGGGCGGGGCCTTTCTCGCGCTCTCCCCCCCACCCCTCCTTCCCTCAGGAGCGTCGCGCGAGTGCGAAGAGAAGAAGGAGAAGCGGGGGTGGCCGCGGCTCGGCTCCCCTCCCTCAGCTTCGGCTGCCCCGGAATGTGAGGCGCGGAGCCCGCTGGAAAGGGGGGGAAGGTGACGGCTGCTTGTCAAAACGCGGTTCCCCCCCTACCCCCACAGTGGTCGCGGCGATAGCGGGGCCGGGCTCTGCCTGCCTGCGCGAAGCTCCCCGGTCCCCGCGCCTGAGGGAAGAAGGGGCGGCTCCTTGGGCGGCGGCGGCGGCGGCGGCAACCACCTCGGCGGCGGCTTCTTCTTCTTCTCCTCCTTCTCCCCGGGCTCGCTCGTGGTCTTTCCTCGCCCGCCA